GAGTGGTCAAACCTACGGCCCCTTGTTGGACCCAGGTGCCGTCTTTTAAACGGGATACCAGTGCCCCTACTTTAGACAACCTCAGCAATGATGTCCTTTACTTGCACATATATACATGTATATTAATATGTATATATATATATATGCCTACATTCACTTGCGCCGTGGAATTCATCCATCCAGGAGCGCAACAGCTGCGTGTGTATGGAGCTGCAGCTCAAGCCGTCCTTGCAGCAGAGCATTTTTACCTCGCTGCTGGTCCCTCGCCTGCGATTTGCTTGGACCAAACAGCTGGAAAACGTTTGCGGGCAACAGCTTGCCACAATCAAACCCGGGTAGCTTAGCAAGCGGTCCCAGCCATAAATGGGCCGCCTTTCAATTTCCTTGAATACGGTAGACCATTTTGATACCAGGTTGACCGTGGCTCATGTGCCTTTGTGGATTTGGCCTGGACCGGGCCGGACATGTTTGTCTTCCACCTACCTTTGTCAGACGCGTTTTTTACGAGGTCACAGCTGCATTCAGCTGGCACCGAAGGGCCATTGCCCTCCAAGCAACCAACACACAATTGGGGAGAAGTACTTTTAGCCATTGAGCATGTGTCAAAGAACGCGGGTGGTTTCACTTCGAATATTACCCTCGAAAAAACTGAAGCATTATACGGGCATATGGGCAATTGGGAAATGGGAGGCCACCCAACTTCCAAATCCAAACCACCTGGAGAAAGCTGAAACACCAAGTTGAAGCCATTGGTTGGAACCCATGTAGGGTCAACACTAAATACTCAGTTGCCCAAAGCCGACCTTTTGACCTTTTGTTTTTCCTTTTTTCCTTTTTGGTCTAGTTTTAGTCATGGCCCCAAAAGGTTAACCTTTTATTTCTGGGTCCTTTGGGCAAGTGAGAATATCCCACCTTTAACAAGGAATCCCCAAAACCGGTTCATTCCCAAAACCTGGAAGGCTCATTCCTACCTATCGCAGCAGCAAGCAAAATGGGAGGGAGGCGGTTTATTTGGTCTGACTTTACCTAGGGTCCCCCAGGATCGTGCCAACTTTCTCACCCTTCTTTGGGGGAGATTCGGTTCCCCTACTAAAATAGACAAAAAAGAGGAAAAAAGAGTCGGGTGCACTTCTTCTAACCTCTCTAATCTGGAGGACCGATCGTGACTCTTCGCCCAGGTCCGGATGCTGAACCCCAAGGTCTTCGAGGAGTTGCGCACCAAGCAGCAGTTGGGCTACATCGTCCAACTGTCTTGGTCGGAGGGCGAGGGCAGCTTGCCGAAAAAAGAAAGAAGCAGGAAACGAGGGGAAGAACGAGGGACTCCCAGTCTAAACGATATGAGGATGTTGGGGTAAACTTTATGGATACATATATACGGGTGCGTCCTTTTTTTAAGGTTCCGTTTTTGGGGTTGGTTTAAAGGGAAGAGAAAGGGAAACCGAAGCCCTTTTGGGCCCCTACACCCAGTTGAAGCCTAATCAGAAGGTTTCGTGTACCCTTTGTGGTGCGCCAAAGTACATGGAGCCAAGAAGGGGGGTCCCCAAAAGAGAGAAGGGAGTATGTTGGGTTCCATGCTTGTTTGCGGGAAAGTGTTGTTTTTCTTGATTGCCCAGCATGCTTTCCAAGTTCTGAGCTTGCCCAAAACAGGAAACCGAAAGGATGGTTTCGTTGGTTTTGTCCAGGCCCGAATCCGAAAAGAACACTTGCGACGCTGAACACCGTGGGTTTCCTTTGGTTACCCGTGGTCCCTACGGCGAAGACAGGTCCTCTCCAAAAAGAAAGTCCTGGGGTCTCGGTCTCGGTGACCGACCGTTTCGGGAGGTTTCCTGAAGCTCCGGCTGCTGGTCCAATCGGAGTTCCCGGTGGAGCACGTGCGGAGCCGCATGGAGCGGTGCTTCAAGGAGCACACGCGCTGGATCCTTGAGGACTTGGACCAGGCGCAATTGGCTTGGCTTGGTTTCGGTTGGGTGCCCCAGCTGCCAACTTTCTCACCCAACTGTTTTTTGGGTTGGGAGGGGAAGCCCCTACTAAAATAGACTACAGAAAAAAAATGAATTGGTACCCTTGTTCTAACCTCTCAAATCTGGAGGACTTAGGATGGGTTGGTGTTAACCATAGCTGTGGATGCTTGTAATCGAAATCCGGAAATCGCACCACGAAATGAGTTTGACCATGCTTGAAACCATGGCTTGTTTGTATTACACGGGAATCGTCAAAAGCCAGTGTTTCTTGGGTCGCAGGATTTCGTCCAGCCACAGTAATTGGGTGTCCTTTCGATCGGTTAGTCTGGTTAGAATAGGTTGATTCCGCCGGTTTAGATGGGTTTGGATCTACATTTACCAGGGGAGTCAAAGAAACAGCGTATGTCAACGGCCATTCTTGCGGCCACCCAAGAAACCCTGGTTTCTGATTCGATTCCCTTGTAATTCCAACAAGCAATTGTTTTAAGCATGGCAACTCATTCCTTCCTAGAAAACCTCCGGCAACCCAGGGAAAACGGCTGGTCGTGTTTGTTTTGTGTGTTTTTGAAAAGAAGGATGGTCGAAAAGAATGGAATTGGAGTCAACCCCTAGATATGTGTCCTTAAAACGTATGTCAACGACCATTTCTCCCCCCTCGAACTTTGGGGTCCCAGGCGGAGTTCGAGCGTCAGCGGGAGGGCCTAGCCTCAATCCTGGCGGAGGCGCCCAAGAATCTGCCCGAGGAGTTCTCCCGAGACATGGACGGACTTAGGTTCTTTTTAGATCTTTTTAGTGTTTAGTGGGGATTTTTGTGTTTAGCGAGGATAGCTAGGTCCCCCAGCTAGGTGCCAACTTTCTCACCCCTTTTTTTGTTGGGAAGAACCCCCCTACCAAAATAGGCAAAACAGAGCAAAGTTGGCACCCTTAGTCTAACCTCTCAAATCTGCAGGACCTAGAAAAGTATTGACCTGCTCGCTGACTTCTTTTTGCGTGTTTGGCGTTTTCGACCTTTTCAAATTGTCAACTGTTCCTTCATTTTTTCACGGCAACCAGTGGCCAAGAGTCCTTTTCCCTCTTTCTCTCTTCATTTCCCTTTTCCACCCATCAGGAACCCCGGTCCGTAAGTAAGTAAGCAACTCCCCCCCCTCTCCCCCCCCAACAAAAAAAGCAAGCAGGTCCGTAAGTAAGTAAGTAAGTAAGCAAGCAAGCAAGCAAGTAAGCAAGTAAGTAAGTAACCACCCCCCCGGGTGACTCGATGCTTCAGGCTACTGGGACGAGCTGCTGCGGGCGCGCTACGACTTCGGGCGCCGGGACCGGAAGCTGAAGCTGCTGCAGGCGGCGGAGCTGCAGACCTTCCGCGGCTTCGCGGCGGAGCTGCACGCCATGCCCCGGCTCTACATCGAGGACGGAGCCATGAGAAACGAACCCCTTTTGGTTTCAAAGGGAATCTATCACTTTGTTTTTTCCCCACAGGCTTAAGCAAATGGAGGAACGTCAAAAGGGCGCGGGCGCAAAAGCCGGAAGTTGCCAAAAAGTCATCTCAAGGGTTCCCCTTTAAAATGAGAACAAGCAAAGGCCGGAAAAGCTCCAAAAAGGCCCCATCCTTTTTGACATGCAGTTTTCGGTTTCCAGGAAGTCTTTCCAAATGGCTAATTAGTGCCATTTCTTGAGGCAAGTGACTGTGAAGTTCAATCAATTCATTTTGCAAGGACGGCCTTCCGGATAACTATGCGTGTAAAGTAGAAATTGACTTCCTATGCGGAATGCCTCCCGAATTGGACGAATTGATTTTCTCGGCAGAAGTGGGTAGCGTTTCCTGATCACGGGGTTTCCCAACAACCCTTCTTCCCACCGGAACCCCCTCCCCTATCGACTGCCTTTTTGCGTTTTGGGGCTTTGGACGCAAAACCCCCCCCCCAGCACCAGAAGGGGGAACCAACCAGCTCGCAACACCCCCACGAGAAGTGGGAAGCAACCATCGAGGTTGAGAGTCAGCTTCCTCCCCGAGAAGTGGAGCCAGACGTTCCCCAGGCGCCTGACCGCGTCTGGCAGGGCATGGAGGCTGCGCGGGCCTTCCGCAGCCAAGCGCGCTGGAGCGGCCCGGCCGCGCGGCTCTGACCTGAAAAAGGTGGCGCGGAGGTGGCGAATCTGTTTGAGGATAGCAACTAGGCCCCCAGCTAGGTGCCCTTTCACCCGCTTTTTCGGTTGGGAGGGTTCCCCTGCTAAAATGGACTACAGGAGAAAGCTGGTACCAACTTATTCTAGCCTCTGTCTACTGGAGGACCTAGGCAACTTGGGGGTGTCTTCTTGTGGCTCCAACAAGAGAAACATCACCCCAGTGCAGGGCTCCCGTATTTGGGCCCGTTGAAGCGGTCGCATGTTGAAGACGAAAATTTGGGGAGAAATGCGTTCGCAGTGTATAAATACGTATGGAAAATAGAATAATGTGTTACAATATATCATGATAGTTCATTTTATACGTGTATATATATATTGATACCATATCACTTATGATATCATGTGGCACGACATGCTATTTTATTTTATGATACGACAATATGTGTTATGGCATGTTATGATATGATATGATATGCTATGACACGACAGAGCACGACACTACATGACATGACATGATATGATGAGGTATCAGGATATCATGTGATATGCCATGGCCTGATGCAATATACAATAACATAATGGCGGTATGATATGATAAAATACTACGTGGTTTTTGGGGAGCTCCCTGCCCACTTCAATGATTGGAAAAGGATGGCCACTGGCCTCACTTGCCCCAAGGACTTGAAAATCAACGGTTACTCTGCAGACGAGTTCATCGAACCCTACAACTCCCCCTTGTTGGCTTCCAGACGAATTTGCAGGGGGACCCCCTTTTCAAGGCTCCCCATGTAGAACACGTGGGACCAAAAACGCCGACGTTCCATATGGTTTTAGAGGGAGCTGCTTGTGGGGAGCCTTTTTGGGTTCCATGTGAATTTTGCCAGGGAGGAACCTCCTGACTCGTGACTGAACATGCCGCAGGACGTGCCCAGCGGGGTGCACGCCCTGGGCGAGCAATGCGCGCAGTGCTGGCCTCAGCTCGGCTTGGGGCATCGGATTTTGGCCTTCCCACAAGACGGCTATTCTTCCATTTGCTTAAGAATATGTTGTTAGTTTTAAAGGGAATCTATCACTACTGGAAACATGTCTTTTCAGAGGGCTTAAGCAAATAGAAGTATTTGGCGTAATGTCGGGACTGCTTTCATGCTGCCCCTCCCCTCCCCCCCCCAAAGACAGTGGAACTAGTTTGCAGGGGTCCTTGTTGTTTGGGTTCGACTTCGACTTGCCAATACTTCATTTAGCATTGCCAAGTCTAATGTAGTATTGCCCAGCCTTCCCCCCTTTGTGTGGCTAGCTGCCTTGCCTTTTGTGCAAGGAAGTTATCTTAAATTTGATGGTTTGGGGGCCACTTGCAAAATTGATTTCCTAGATCTAAGGCGTTTGCCCTTTGAGACGGGAAGAGCTTGATTAGGTGAACCGCTCTTTAAAAGTGAAACATTGCGACTTTCATTGGAGTTTCAGGAACCTCCCCCCCCCAAAAAAAAAAGAAACCAAGAAGAAGTTGGACATTAACGCGACCCCCAAACCAATCACATTAAGGCGAATCACGGCATCTTGTGGGCACCCCCCTTGTGATCATTTTCCCTTACTTTTTGTGCAAAGCAGTGATCTTAAAATTGATTGTTCGGGGACCACCTAAAACAAAGGAGTTCCTAATGTTTGCCCGGATATGTTTGCCGTTGTTTGTGCCCGATTTGTTTGGCCCGTTTGTTTGTACACGTGTTGTGTCTTTTCGGCGAACACAATTTCTATCAAATCTCTAAACGGTCACAGGGCTCGGAATTGCAAAAACCTTGTTTGTTAAAGAGTACCCAATTTGAAAGGCGGGTCCGACGATACAGGATGCATGTTTTCCGGATTCGACTTATTTGTTGGGGACACTCAAAAGCTCACTTCCTAAGTTCCTGGACTTCATACTTTTCGGCAAGACCATTTCAGTGATAAAGGAAAAAAATAGACTTATTTTCGCCATCCACTCAGGAACCAATCATCCACTGTCATCAACAAGGCAACAGGGGGCTTGGAAGGTCTTTGGGGTGTCAAGTTGCGAACGGATTGCGGCGGTCGCGGCTGGATGACTCGATGAACCGTTGGGGTCTTCTTTTGCCCAGGGAAAGGGTCTTGCAGTCTGAAGGTCCCACGCAGTGGATTCTTTATGAGGAGGCCAGGTCTTGAGATATCATCTTCGTTTCAAGGCAGCTTACCCCCTTCCAGCTTTTTTGATTGTTTGGGGAGGGTCCTTCTTTTGGTTGGAGGTTTGGGATGATGCAAGCACAAGGTATGGACGCCTTCGCGCTCGGCACAGCTCGCCGGAAGTGCGCTCGAATCGCAGCGAGTCCCTCGCTCAATGGATGCGGCAACAAAGGATGGTCCGCAGATTCCTGCGCGCGCGTGTGATGTTAAATGAAGCCCCCCCGTTGCTGGTTGACTTTGAAGGGAAGCCAATGGACCGCAATCGTTGTGGAGGTCCTGTAATTTGGAGACAAACCCTTGTTTGAGCCTGTACTTAACAGTTCGCGGCAAGTATGAAGCGACATGGAGTTCCCGCTCCGTGTTCCCATGCCGCAATATCGAGACGCATGAGAAAGTTCCTGCAGGGGATTCCTTGTTTCCGGTTTGGGAAGTAAAGTAATTCTCCGAATATTAGGGTTGCAGGGAGCAGGCAAATTATCCACTACATATTGAAGCTCCTTTGGGGAGGAAGATGACCTGTCAATTTTGGTCCCGGCCGCAAGATGCGTTGTGAATTGGTGCGGTTGGATGCTGATGGTGCGTAGGCGTGAGGCCGGGTCCGTTTTTCCTCAGTGGGCGTTGCGCCCTGCTTTGATTGGCAGGGTTCTGCTTTTGGCTCCCCCCCCCTCCAACATTTCCCTCGTGACCTGGGTTTCTTCAAGTCATGGCACGACGCCCATTCACGTAGGCCACGTGGCTCAAGAGAGCATGCCTGCTCTCAGCGTAGAGTACATCAAACATGCCTCCGGGGAGTTCGACGAGGACGATACTTCGCAAGAAGCCACGCGCTTCCAACTGGATGGTCCCCCTTTGCCGGTTCTTGCAAGCGCTTTGGTTGCCGTGGTTGCCGTGAACTTCCTAAAACGCGTGGGCCGCGTGTTTTAGGGTATTGGCGTTGGGTGTTTGCGACGAGAATTTCGAGTCAGTAGCTATCCAGCTGAGACAAGTGGCACTGAGGGGGCCTTGCGCCCCGGATTTCTTCCGGGGGGATCAACCCTGAGCCGTCGGGTTGAATTGCGCCAACGGGGGGGGGGGGGGGGGGCGGGTCCTGTTTCGTGAAGGGCCAAATTCGATCCTGTTCTTGAGGCATGGCGCGACCCGGGACCTATTGAAGGCTATGCGTTTCAATAGGGCGCCACCTGAAAAGTGGCTGGCAGACATGAAACCCTAGCAAATGTTGATGTCCGCCAGAGGGTCCGAGATATCATGAAAACCCATGGTTTTTACTTGGCTCCCTCTGTTTCCTGCCGGCGGACGGCAGGAGTCCGTGTTCCAGGCCATTCTGAGCAACCGCGCCTCGGCTGCCACGGACGGAGTAAGTGGTGGGACATGGGGCGTTGGGCCATGTCCAAAGGAACTGCCAAACCAAATACAGTGGCCACCTCCGGATTGCTTTTGCGAGCGGTCTGAGATGCGTGTTCTATTCTTCGGCGCATTTTTTGGGGCTGAGATGTCAAGCTCAAGCTCAAAGCGGGGCCCCTTTTCCTCGGTTTTGCCCATGGAGTCTCAACCTTCCGGCTCCCTAGGCTCCATCTCAAAGATCGAGCAGCTGAGCAAGTGCCTGGGGCCTCGGATCAGATTTCGCCCCCTCTAAGAACGAGTCCCGGCTGGTGGAAGGGCCAAATGGATTTGGGATTTTTTGGAGCACAAAAGCAGCCGCATGCGCGAAGCTCTGGCGGTTTCCATGCGGAAAGGTTCTGGATCCATATTTTTGTCGGTTACTGAAATCAGAGGCCGTTTTGAGGCCGCTGATGGAGCAAGGCATTTGACCCACCGGCCCGCCTTGTGCGCTTTAAGCTTAGCTAAGTTGGAGGGTTCGCGCAAAGGGGTGTCTCTGGTGACCTTTAGCGTTCAGGTACGCTGTGGGAAGTTTGCGCGGGGTACGGTCGAGGGGTTCGATGGGTACGGTGGGGGTACACCTCTCGACCATACCCATCAGGCATATGTGCCAAAATGACCACACCACGGAGCCTACCCCCCCGCACCCCCCACACCAATCTTGAAATCAGTCGAAGTCAAGGCTTTCCCCGCAAAGAACCGTAAGCGACCAGCGCAAAAGCAACACCTGGCCACGCGAAATCCCGGCGGCCGCACAATTGAGCCCGAAAACTCTCTCTCGCGCTGCACCGTGTTCGGTCAAACTTCCAGTATGGTCTACGGTGAAATGTGGAATGGAAATCCCAGATTGTACCATGGCCAGGGTAACAGTAAAAATTTCGCGGCGCACACCGGGCATGTGTTTGAGAAGCCCCGGAACCTGCCTCCTGCTCCGCAATTTCCCATCCAAGACCTAGCCGACACAGGGCTCGACTTTCTGATTTTGAGCCTGGCCATCGGTTTTGCGTTCCTTGAAATGCATCCCAAAGGCGTCTTCATTGCAAGATAGACCTATTGCGGTTGTGAGGTGTTTTGGGACCCCACAAAAAGCGGCTGCTGCGAACTTCATTGAAATGGTCTTCCAACAAGGGGGTGATGGTGCAATGGAGGGCCAGGATCCCAAAAAAACAGGTTTGGCAGGAGCGGCGGACTGGGAGGGTTTGTTCTCGGAGGGGTGTTTCTCCGCTCGCCGTAGCATGACGGCAATGTCACGTGCCATAAACCTTGGTGGCTCCCAGCCATCCGGTTCCTTAGCTTTTTAGCCTTTTAGCGTTTAGTGGTAGTTTCCATTTAACCCACTAAAAGTTAAACTTTCAGCGCGGGATCTGAGGGCAGCCCAGAAACGTAACTGATATCATCCGTTGCTACTCGCAACTTCCTCAGCATTTCCTCAGACTGCGCTTGAAAGCCAATGGGAATGTGCTAGACTCCATTTTGTGGATTTCCTAGGTCCAACTCATTCGGATCGACGAAAGACACCCATTGGGCTCAACATCTGCCGAATCCTTGAGGACGAGGCTCAAAGGCGTGAGGAATGCGAATCCTGGTGCCTTCAGGGTCCTTACGGAGCGAGAAGAAAGCCCAGAGATTCCCTGGCATGAGACCCGCGCTTCTCCTTTGAGAGCTGAAACATATACTCAACCGCAAGGCAAAACCAAAACCGCGATTGGGCGGATCCCCTGATTTGTCACTTCCTGAGTTCCTGGACTTCATACTTTTTAGGGGAAGACCATTTTAGTGACAAAAGAACAGCGCAAGGCTTTTTTGGGGCCATCCACTCAAAAGTGAGGATGAATCCATACTTCGCTGCTTGCTCCGCCCTTTGCCGTTGGGCAGGCTGCAACCTGCGATGGCTGGATCTATCCAAGAATCAGATCATGCGTCCGAATCTTACCCGGTCTGCTTGTCATGTTGCGCATGCTCCCAAATGCAGTGATGCTGAGAATGGACAATCTCCGTGGCACTAGGTGATACGAGGTGTGTTCCTGTATTGGGTTTTTATCCGTCCCAGCTGCAGCCACAACGTCCTGAATGTCCAAACGCATGTAATATAGGGAATACGGCGCTCAAGTCAGCCAACTTTATCACCCAAGGCTGGGTGGTTCGCAGCCATCCGGTTCCGTAGCTCTTTTTAGCCTTTTAGTACGCGTGTTTAGTGGTTGGATTTCCATTTAACCCACGAAAAGTGCGTGACTTTTGGCAGGGGATCTGAAAACGGTTCTTGCACAGGGGAAAAACGACGCCCGTGAAGGCCTCCTTTCTGAATTTCCTGATGTCCGGGTAGTAGTTGCCCACCCAGAGGCTCCTGGGGCTTTCAATGGAAGACCCGACCCCTCCATTAGACATTCCGGGAATTGGTTGGTCTCAAGACCAGGTTGTTTGAAGGCCCCAAATCAATCGGGAGCCTCTTGGAGGTGCCTCAAACCCCTCTTTTGGATGGCTCCCAAAATAAGCCACTGTGGTACTTCATCCAAACGTTCCTCGCTACGGTCCTCCAGTCAGTCCCTCAGGATGGCCTGGCCGTAGCTAAGTCCATGAATAGATGGTTCAAGCCCAAACATCACGACTTTTTGGCTGGCTCTGAACTCCGGCAATCGCTTTTTGTTGTTGTTTGAGTCATATGGGTGTTTCCCGAAAGCAGGGGAGCCCCTTGGTTTCGCTTGGTTTCGTCGGGAGACGACGAGGACTCCGACCATTTGAAGGGAAGGCCCCCCCAAACCGTCGCACCATCCACGCATTGCGACTCGTGAGGCATGGAGAACCTGGAGGGCCTCGGTCAGCTCGTCTCAGCTTGAGCCTTGGGCACCTGGCCTTTGGGGAGAGGCGGGTGAATAGAACACAACTAGGTCCCCCAGTGCCATTCTCACCCCTTTTTTGGGGGAGAGGAGGGTTCCCCTACTAAAATGGGCAAAAAAGAAAAAGGGTAGCCTTATTCTAAGCTCTCAAATCTGGAGGACCTAGGTTTGGGGAGAGGCGGTTGGCAGCACAAAGGGCTGAAGCATTACGAGGTGTCCGCTGCAATCGGGACGTAGTATGAGCTCAAAGTACCCTACAGTCCCATTCCAAGGAATTGGCCCCGTATATTAGTTGCTCCAAACGCGGAACTCGCTTCCTGAGGTCTTGGACTTCATATTTTTTGGGAAGACCATTTTGGCGGCAAAGAAGAAGTTCGGACTTTTCTGGCCATCCACTCGATCGGATGTGAAAAAAGGTCGGTTGTTATTGTTACCCTGGTTTGAACTGCCATTGCTTCAGCTATGTTTTCCCCAAAAGACAACTCTGCCATGTCATGCCTGTGCCACGTTCACGTGCTCGTCGAAGCGAGCCATCAGAACAAGACTCTTCTGATATATCCAGTGGTTTGGTTTCCCTATGGCTACTTGTTTGGGTCTTTGGACTTCAACGGTTTGGTTGAAACAACCGGATTTTCCGAATTGGACCCACAAGTCTTCAGCCTTTTGAGGAGTCTTGACAGCAACCGAGGTTTGTTTCTTCCTTGCTGTGACTTTCTCCTCACTCGCGCAGAGCGGCGTCCAGTGGTGCCCGTTTTTTCCACTAGGAGATGAAGGACGAGCCTTTGTCCCATGGCCACTGGAGGTCTGGGTTCACTAGCCGCTAGTGTTTTTTTTTCATGTGTGTGTGTGTGTGCTTGTGTGCTTGTGTGCTTGTGTGCTTGTGTGCTTGTGTGTTTGTGTGTGTGTATATGTGTGGGCTGTGTTTTTGTGTGAAGGCGTGTTGGTGTGTGTGTGTGTAGGATGTGTGTAGGATGTGTGTAGGATGTGTGTACGATGTGTGTACGATGTGTGTATGATGTGTGTACGATGTGTGTACGATGTGTGGGCTGTGTGTGTGTGTGCGTGTGCGTGTGCAGGTGAGTGTGCGCGCAGGTGCTTGTGTTTGTGTGGGTGTGTGTTGTGTTTTTCAATGGGATGTTGGCAAGGCAAATGGCCACATCATAGTATGGGCTAAAACATTACAGATCATGTGTGGTTCCTAGGATCTTGGCCTCATTTGGTGTCACAGTTCCGCGAATCCACATGATCAATCAACAGTCCCCAAGTTTTACAGTTTTTTCAACAACCCCGAGGCCCCAGGCACTGAACTGAAGCAAAGAGGAATCGAGCCGATCGCTTTCAGCTTGAGGTGGACCTGTCCTTTAACAAGATTCTGAAGGCCAGTCGCGACGCCTGACATCCTGACATCAACGGTTCGGGGGGGTAAAACGAGCAAACGCCAGGGGAAAGGGCCTTTACTTGGGGCATCCCTTATTTCAGGTCTTGGACATGTTTTGAAAAACTGCAGGTCCATGAAGTTGACGGCAAAGACCTGCCATGTACTAAAGCTCCTGCGTTGCTTGAATAATATGCAACTGAGACGGGAAGGCATTGAGATTCGGCAAGCCAGTAGAATCATTCCTTCAATAGAAAAAGAAGAAGAAAAGAAGAAAACGCATGGGAGCCCTTGGAGCCCTTGGAGCACTTCGTGCACTTGATTTTTCCCCAGTTGGTTTGCCAGAGGGCCGTGGGAAGCTGGATGTCAAGAAGGTGAAACAGATGGCGCGGCATGTGGGAAGGCATCAGGCCCAAGAACTGGCAAGTTGTTTGGCCCAAGGATGGCAGAGGTGGCAGCAGCTAGGTAAAAAGGACCTTCTGCTTGCGATCGTTTGTCTGGATTTCATTGGCCCAAACTGTTGGCCAATAATGTAGGAAGCGGGAAGCGGCGTCCGCCGTGGCTGGTGTGGTTGTTCCTGATTTGCTGTGTTGCCCTGGCGGCGGTGGTGGTGGTGGCGCTGGTGGTGGTGGTCGCCGTGGTCGCGGTCGGGGCCATGGTCATTGTTGTTTGTTTTGTGTCTGGTGCTCAGTAGTGAACCTGGGGGTCCCCTTAAAGGAAAGCCACCAGTCGGATGGAAAAAAAGGGGTCATTCCAATTCTCATTCTCTGCATCTCTCGCACCGGCAAGTTTTGTTGTCGCCTTCCCTGCAGGTCGGTGATTTGAGCGGGGCGCCAATTCTGGAGAGGCTCATGCTCAAGGCCGGAGCGGTTGTGAGCTGCAACCAGCCATCGCAGCGCAGTTGTTTTGCCGAGACCGCAAAGTGGCAAAGTGGCTAAGTGTTACGCGTGCTGGCGCGTGTGAGTGTGTGCGTGTGTGTTTTATGGTCCTGCAGAAGACCAGAGGAATCGTGCGGAGGTTGTGGATCTTAGCGTTGCTCATTCCCTATGCCCTGCTTCTTCCAGTTCTTGCTGTTTCACCTGGCAGGCGAATCCCATCTCCAAGTTGCAAGACTTGGAAGGCGGTTGGGCGAGAAGAGCTCGTGCGGGCTGGCTGGTGTTCGGGCTTTCGGGGGGAACAAGCAGTTTAACTCAGTCTCGTTTTTGCTGCTCGCTGGCCATGCTCCATTTTACCTTTCAGTACAGAGGAAACTAGTCAAACAAGCAAATCGGTCTGAACATGTTCACCAGTTAGAGCGTTAGCAATGTGAAGCTGAACCGGGCAAGTTTGACGGTAAAACCCTTGGCGCAACTGCCAAGGTTCCGTGAGGCATGGGTGTTGCAGGCCATCCCTCGCTCGGTTCCTTTTGAACCCGGCTATCACCAATCAGTGGTCCTGGCCGTACTTGTTTGGCGCCCGCAAGTGGTGAGTTGTTTGAAAGCTGATGTCCAAGCCTTGCCTTTGGCGATGCCTCAAAAAATTGAGTTGTCTCGTGGTATTTGAGGGAGGCCAAAAGCAAACAGGTTCTTTCCTTTCCGGGGGCCTTTGTTTTCTTGGTGGTTCGCAGCCATCCGGTTCCTTAGCTTTTGAGCCTTTTGGTGTTTTTCCATTTCACCCACTAAAAGTTATTCACTCTTAGCAGGGGGTTTGAAAACGGGGACAGCCCTGAAAAATGTTTTGGGTTGGGTTCCTCAAGAACCCCCAACCACCCCCCACCCCCACTCCTCAGTTTGGAGCAACCAGTCGTTTCCATGGGTCGGCCCAAGGCCGCAGACCAGCGCTCATTCAGATGGAATGCCGCCAGGCCTGAAGACGGCGCGGGCCCTGCGCCATCTCGCCTTCCAGAACGTGGACAGGGCTTGCGAGGGCCAGTGCTCTTCTCACCTGAGGTCCTTGACACCAAAGGACTTTTATACTCTTTGGTTTGGACCATTGGAGTGAATTTCAGTGGTAAAAAATAAAGATCAGACTGGTTTTGGGCCATCCACTCGATCGGATGAGAGCTTTTGTTGCCTCATTGCAGTATATCTATAACTGCCATTTGCATCCTTCTGCAGTGTTTGTTGCCATCACAACCATCCGCTCATGAGACGCGCTTTGGCCCGGGGCCCTCGTTTGGCCTTCGCCTCTCGAGCCAGAGGACACCTCGGACTCTTGTCCTGTGTGTTCCACCCCAGAGCCGGGCGCCCAGCTGATGCAAAGTGTGCGTTTGTGTGCGGGGGTTTCTTGCCCAATTTGTTCAGGGACAAATCGAAAGCCACAGCGTGGACGCGGGCGCCCCACTGATTTTGACAAGCCCAAGGGTCGGTTTCCGAGCTTTGAAGCCTGGAAAGGGCCGAACGCGGGAATGGCCGATGTCTCACGGAGCCGCGGATGTCCCGAAACCCAATCTACACCATTCGCCTAAGCCGATCTCGTGTTGCAACTTTTGCCCATGTCGCACGCTCGGGGTGCACAAAGGGCTCTGGCTCAAGATGTTATCCGCCTGAAGCGGGGCTATGTTGCGACAAGCTTCATCCGTTTCATTCGCGAAACTGAGATCTGACAAGTGGAATGGCAGCACATGAAATGTACTGTGTTTGCTTAAGGCATCATATGAGCATCGAACAAAAGGTATGGTAGATACGTTAGATTAGTTCGTCCGAGGGCGAGAAGGAGGGCCCCAAATTTATCCGCAACCTGGGGGCACACAAGTGTCCCATGTCCTCTTGGAACAACACTGGCTGCATACTGCGCGTTCGATCAATGGGATTTCCACCAGCGTTTTGATCCGGGCGACAACTCAAGGGTCGCTTGTGATCCTCCCATCTCAGCATTCATTTGGATCAGGGCTGTGGGAAATGACCGCTTCTGTGATACAACAAAAAGAGCCTCCCAAACACTACACCACCAATATACACGGGGGCTTCCCTTGTATCACAGAAGTGGGGATAAACCCCTTGATCCCACAACCCTGATTTGGATCTTTATATTCGGTGCCGTTCCAAAACATGATCCGTGGACGATGGTCGGTTTGCCGATATTCTTTGTGAACAACCAAAGGGGTCATCGGTAGGAAGCACGCGGTGCCTTGTCCGCAGTTATTGAGGCTATAATGTTTTGTGTCTCGAACAGCCCGTAGCAGAGACAGGGGAAGGTTTTGGGACCAGGATTAATATGTTGCGGCTCGGCTTGACGGATAGGTCTTCCAGATTCCAACGACACCAGGGTTGCTGAAGCTTGGAAGCAGATCGCCCACGGGTTCCCTTTTTCAGCTGCCATGTGTTGTGCCACCTTGAATCGTTGAAAGGTGGTGACCCATTTTGTCCGAAGATCCTCGTTTTCACAATGGCCTTAGGAACTAGTGGCTTACGCCACTATGCCAAGCAATCGACAGGGAGAGTTGGGAGCATCAGGCATTCCATTTTCTAGTTAGCCCCGTCACCTGAATCCAGTGATTCGTGATTCATGCATTCCAGAATCCCTGAGTTCCACTTCTGTTGGGAGAAGCCACAGAATGCAAGCCTCTGCGCAAGTTACAGATGACGAGCTCACCTGGTGGTAAGCTGCAGGCCAGGGCCTACAGCAAACAAAAAAAACACTATATCTTCTACCTCACTCTAATTATGGATTTACCGGAATCCTTTCCACTTTGTAAGAAATATATTCTATAACTGGGCCTCACTCTATGTCTGGCTATACTTTAATGAATAGCAAAAATTGGATCGACGCCCAGGTACCAGCGCACAGTGCAGCAGCACTGCAAAGACTTGGTGGCGCTGGACAGCAAGCGATTTGCTCTTCCCGACCTGGATCGAGAGGCGTTCCCGGTTTCTTCTGCCAAGTGTTCCCGGGGATCTGGTCGATCCTTCGCTTCCTGGACTTTGGTCACTTTTTGGGTTTGGACCATTTTCTTGGTGGACGTTGGGTTTGGGGAGCAAAAAAATACATTTTAGCAGCTAAGTGGGGGATTTCCCACTAAACCACATTAAGTAAAAATGTAAAATGTTTCCCAACAACAACCATGAGGGAAAGAGCTTGAACTTTTACTTGTTGCGGCCGGTCCACTCAAGAAGTAAGATCCTCAACAGGATTTCGAGTGCCAAGGTTCCTACCGGGACCGGCATGACGCACATGAGGGGCCCTGAGAACAAGACGGCGTATGCGTCCAAGTTGGGGAGTACCTCATTAAATGGTGTCGGGTTGGCGTTGTTTGAACATGACAAAACAGCAGTTTTGACACCAGCTTGGCATCTCCGAAGCCAATGGCAACGAGCAGGGTCCAAGCCATAGCTAAAAGTCGCAGGCACACTCGAAGTTTTGGAGAAACTGACTGATCAGCGCCAATTCATGAGCCATATCTCACTTCCTGAGTCCCTGGACCTGATGCTTTTTGGGGAAGAGCATTTTAGTCATAAAGAAAAAGTTCAGAGCTGTTTTGCGGCCATCCACTTAGGAAGTGAGACATCGAATGTCTTGTTGCTATTGAAAGCAAGCCGGTCGGTTGGATCATATGCAGGGCCTGGGACGGATGCGAAGGTTCCGTGGGTTGCAGATCTGTCACAGCTCTTTGGGTCGTCGCAGCTGCGAAGTACTATTCTGCCACTCGGGGACTGGCAGACGCCGGGTGTCAGCACAGCTGTCAGGGCTAGCTCCGTTACGGTCGGAGGCGACATGGCTTCCTGGCGACCGCCTGTGTGAGCAAAAAAACCCTTGCTCGTTTGCATGTACGCCATGCCTGGTTTCTTCATCTGGCCGAACGTATTTTCCCCTATCACGTTCACGTGCACAACGCGCTCGTCTTTCGGCATCGGAACCTATAGTTATTTTTGGTTCTTCATTACGCACATGCCAGGCTCCCTGTTGCTGGGAAGTTGGTTGACCTGTCGCCTGTCGCCGACGCACAATTTTCCGTGGCCTTGGGCGAGCATGTCGAGACATGCTCGCCCAAGGTTTGGTGCCCTTCCCACCAGAATCCTATGCATTTCCCTAGGATTGCTTATACATCATGTGTTGGTCCTAGCTTTATTGAACTCCACTTTGATGGGGTGATGTGACAAAAGGGATACATAGGGAACACTTGCCATGGTATTTGTGTTGTTGTAAACGGGTTGAACATATGGTTTCAGACTGGATCTCTGTCAGATCCGGCGCCTGGACGAGCAGACCGCCATAGACGTACCTGATCCTGAGCCTCGTTCTCAGGTTTGCGGTGTGACGGTCAAAGCCCACCTGGTTGACGTCGACCTGAGAAAATTTGAGGTCCTCAGTTGTTGTATTAAGACGGGGCCCCCTGTTTCGGCAAACCCCTTTTGATGACTCTGGGTGAATCATAACGACCTCACACGACCTCACCCCAAATGGTGGTTTGTGTGGGGAATAACCCCCCCAATTACCTTATTTCAGGTTGGTGAAACAGTATAATTTACTCAGATTACTGGGGCTGGAGCTCGGTCAGGGGTCAATGCCAAGGGCGTGAGTGGAGCTGGCCATCGACCCTTCACAAATGTTCGACCATATTTTGATCAGAGAATCCTTAATCGGTTTGAACCACTGAGTGAGGGCAAATGGGAAGCCGCCCCCCGAAAAGTAAGCCAAGGGAAAGCTGAGGAGCTCCAGTCCCCAAAAAAAAGGCGACTGATGGAAACCCATGGCCATGATGACTGCCCTGTTAAAAAAAAAAAAAGAAAAAAAACTAGCAAACGTTGTGGCGTCATCCGTGGTTTCATTTCGTGGTGCGAATCGGAGTCAAAGTCCATCCACAGTGGCACGTGTGGCCAAGCCGAATTTGTTTGGAGATGAGCAAGAGATGATATGGACCATTCTTCGCTCTGAAAGCATGACCTAGGGACACTCTCACCACCTTGTAGTAAAATGGCGGTCACTCGACAAGGGACCTGTTTGTGGATTGGTCCTCCAAATAGGTCGCGACTGGAATCGCAGTGGATGTCCGCAGCTTGTTGAGACCAGTCATCTCAGCAACTTCAGCACCGTTCCAAAGCTTGGCTCTTTTTGTGGAAGCTCTCTGGGAGTCTGAGGTTGCCCCCTTCCCCGCGCCGGCTGCCCGCATAACCCACCCATAAAGTGAGAGTTTGCGCAGGCGCTTTACTGCCAAGGATCCCCTCGATATTTTACAGCCAATGTGGCGAGGTCAAGAGACCTGTTTGTTTGCGGTTAGGGATGATCATGAATCCTTCAGAAGGAGAGTTGGACAGCCAAATCAGGTGTGGGAGTATCCCTTTCAGTTTTTGTTGCAAGGGCCGAAAAGAGGACTGCCATTCGTGCCCCGTTTGACATGGGGGTTGATCAAAAGGTCCTTTGCAGAACGAGGTCCATTGGGAAAACCCGCACATTTATGATATTTCCCACTAGATGGGAAGAGTTTCCTTTGGGGGCCGAACGGAATATAGATCAACTTCCTCGAACCCATGACACCCATTGACTGCTATTGGGTTGGATCTTTAACGTTTTGGGAGATCAAGCTGGGTTTTTTTCCAGGAAACCCCCAGCAAGCCAGACTTTTTGCAGGGGGGTCAACAGCAACCAAGCACGACTCAGTTGCCCAAAGCCGACCTTTTTACCTTTTGGTTTTCCGATGTTGATCCATTTTTAGTCATGGCCCCAAAAGGTTAACCTTTTATTTCTGGGTCCTTTGGGCAACTGAGATGAGGATGTCTCCTTTTTTGCGGCGAGTGATTGGCCTAGGCCCTGGTTCACCCAAGCGGACTTGGACTTGGGCGAGCTGCCCAGCCCAGAGGCCGTCCGATCGGTGCGGGACGGGGGTGTCCACCCACCCAGCCAACCATTTCCCCGCGCGAGGGTTTCACGTAGCGGCCTGGCTGGGTGATCGTCTGTCACAAAGGAGCCTGCTTTGGAAAGGGCAAACACAAGAGCGGCCCAATCAGGCATGGTGCGCTGCTAGATGAACCAGCCAACCAACCAACCAACCAACCAAACAGCCAGCCAGCCAGCCAGCCAGCCAGCCAATCAACCAGCCGAGCAGCCAGCTATCCATGCCTTCAAAAAGTTCTTCTTTCGGTGGTTTCCCATCTCACAAACATGAGGAGAAGTTTCCTGAAACTGAAACGGTCGGTGGGGGGCCCTATTCAAACCATTGAAAGGAGAAGTTTGAGAATGGCCCTTCAAATGAACCCGGTTTTGAGAAGGCTGTGTTTCAGCGAATCTGCTGGTCTAAAGATGTAGGTCAACGTTTGGTAAGATTTTAGCTTCTTTGCCCTGAAGCTAAGGTCTTCAGGGAGGCGAGAACCGGGCTGCGAGAAGAGAGAGCTTCCGCGCTCTCGAGCCCTTGTCAAACAAAAGAGAACAACGTCTTGAGCTGGGGAATCACGGCCTTTTTTTTTGAAGAAGCAAAAGGCCTTGTGGTGAAGACACAAGAGTGACTAGAGTTAGCATAAGGCTTAAGGCTTCGTGGTGAGGACGTTCAATTTTGCCTTCCTTCGGGTTGGTTTTGGCTCGATGTCAGGACTCCGAATCCCCGCTTCGCGCGGGCGGGTGAGAGACCGCACCAGCCAGGAGCTTGAGGAGACCCTGAAGGATCCCATCCAGGACTTCCAGGTCAAAAGACCCGGAGAATGGGTTCTTTAGCCAGGGTCGCGTGAAGCGTTCTGGAGAAAACCCTACGAAGAAGATGGTCAGATGTATATATATATATATGTAGTATGTGCTTGAAAGCCTGATGAACCATGCGTATCTGGTTCACTGAGGTTCTGGAGAATCAAGCATATAGTGATAAGTAGAAAAAGCTGGGGGCCTTAGGAGCCTTAGGCCTTTCGCAGATGTGAGATGCTTGTTTGGGGGACTTAGGCTCGGATCCTTGATGATTATTATGCAAGATAACATGCAGGCACGGTGCCGTGTCTGCCGATTCATGAGCACCTCATGTTGCTAGCTGCTTCTTTCTTCAAGGACGCTGGATTCCAAACAGACATTGTCGGTTTTAGCGTTGAGTGTAGGGATGGACTATTCGGTTGCAACCATATGCAGGGTCTGGACACCAGTCCTGCCCAGGCCGAATCTCATTTGGGACCCGCTGGCACCCCGCGGAATCAAAAAGTAGACAGAGGAGGAAAGGAATCCCTTGAACCACGACACCAAAATTTCTCGTTCTACAGGCGGATGCTTTGGCAAGTCCATGCTTTAGCCACAGATTTCGCTACGTCAAGCTGTGTTGCCCGACTTTCATGACCTCAGTTGCTTTATTGCCAGGCTTGCAGCCCACTTTGTGGTGTTGCCTTTTTGGGTAGGTCTCACTTCCTGAGTTCCGTATCACTTGAGCAACATGTTGGGGTTTGGACCATTTGGCTGTGGCTCCAAAAAGTGGAACCCATGTTTGGGCCCCTTGGAAACAAAGACCAAGACCTGCGTAAACCGCAGCCCCTAAATTTTGAGCCACACCCATTTTGGTGGCAAAGAGAAAGTTGAAGGACCGCTTGGACCATCTCGATCGGAAGTGCGTATTGGAGTTTGGATCCGGGCAAGCGCACTCAGGCTGCCATGGCCGAATGCAAGCAAGTGTTCAGAGAGGCCACGGGGCCTCCAATCGGTGCACTTGGCACTTCCAAGCGGAAACTCGGGTAAACCCTGTAGTCGTCCATTTGCTAAAGAATATGTTTGATTTTCCCCGTGGGTTTCTAAGGGAGTTTAACTAGTGGAAATAGTTTTCTGTTTACTATATAATGCAGGGGGTGGCCCTGGTTTAGTGGGGAGCCATCACTTGTGGACGGGAACACCACCATATTCACAAACCCGTTGAGGTGTCTCAGCCTCCGTCTCCACCTTGTGCATAGGAAGCTGCGTCGGCATTTTCGACACCTCGCAACGGCGGTCCATGTTGCCCTTCAGAACCCTTAGAAGTTTCATGGGACTGACTCGTTAGGGGAATCGAAGCGCTTGCAAACTTAGATGTGTTTGTTGGTGCGCTCGCGGTTGTTTCAAGTTTGTGTGTGTGTGTGTCTTTTTTGTTGAGGTACTTTTGGTGGAGTTGTCTTCAAAGATTGGCATTTTGGAGGTTCCCCCTTGGAAAAAACCCTGATTGAGGAATCACCACACAATCATCACACGTTCTTCACGTTTTCGGCTTGGAGCTATGCTTGATGCCTTCCATTGTTCTCCAGGTTGCTGCCTCATTCGTTACACCCATTATTATTTCGAAGAAGCACTATCACTCTTTGGGTTTCTGACCAGCTTCTGGAAAAAGGATGCCTGGAAAGAATGGGAGAAGTACAGCTAAGCATGTTCTGCGTTTGCATGGGATTCTTAGCTGCACTGGTGGGGAAGCAGTATTGTAGCTCGACAACATCCATTTCATGTCTGTTGCTAGATTGCTAGGTGGTGAATTATCAGCACTTCCAGGATTTCATCCATCCCAACTGGCGCGGTTTGTCCATCCATCGGCAACCACGAGCCAAACGCGACAAGACGCATTCCGAGCGAGGCAGAAGAACTGCTTCGACTGCAAGAGGCTAGCTGAGGTGGGCGCACTCACGTTGCCGATCCATCCCCAGCTAGGTCCCCCAGTGCCCTTTCTCACCCCTTTTTTGGGGAGGGTTCCCCTACTAAAATAGACTACAGAAACAAGGGTACCCTTATTCTAACCTCTCTACTGGAGGACCTAGCCAACATGCCAATCGGATTGGGTGAATTATGTGTGTAAGATGTATTGTTGCATAGAGATGTTTGGCGTGTTGCGTGTTCACAGCCGGCACATGTTGCAATAGGTCATGCGTTGTCGTCCAAGCAGGACAGGGGGAGCGTCAGTCAGTCCACAAAACGTCTCAGCCAAACCTGAGAGGGTGAATTGATGGCGCACCGCCGTGGCCCTGATTTTAGGATGATGTCCAAACTGCTACTCCCATGGCTCATGGCATACGCAGCTACTTTATAAGTAGTCATGATATATAATGGGTTTCCACTGGTAGTGGTTTGAGGGTAGAGGAAGTTATCTTGGATCGTTGGAAGAGACTGCCGGTTGGCAAGCTTATTTGCCTACCCCCTCTCAAGTGGTTGGTGGACATGGATCCCCACCTAAATGATGTCCACCAAAGGGTCCCGAATTCAACCTCAGACCCAGTTGAGCTCATCCTGGAATGAATGCCATAGGGACCAGCCTGAGTGAAATATGGCCAGGTCGAGCTCATGCGAAGCGATGCGCAAACGCCGCAGCTCGCAAAAAGTATGTGCCGCTGATAAGAAACTTGCTTGGCCTTTAGTGAGTCTCGTGGTGTCCACTTAAGAAGTTCGTATTTTGGGAGGATTCCCACATGCATCCTGAAAGAGTGCGTTGTGATGCTGAGAAAAGCTCTGATCAGTCTCAAATCTCATGAATCCCTTGTGAGTGCAGCAGGTTCCTGGCCTTGAATTTGTGAGTGTGTTTTTGAGTGTAGCCTTCTTTGGACCAAACACCAGAAGCGTCGGAGTTGTTGGCGTCGACCTACCCATGTTGACTTGCACTTGTCATTCCTTGGCGTCTTCTTTTGATCCAAGATGCTGTCCACGAGAATTGATCTCCTAAGGACTCCCAACGGGGGGGTTCACAGATGGTTTGGTTGATTAGAGGGAAACTTGTTGGGGCAGCTAAATTCTCCTAAGGACACCCCTTGGGCGTCTCAGAGATGGTTCTGAGAGTTGGGGCGACTGATTGCAACTTATGCCCAAACTGACTGCTTTTCGTTGCATTTGGGAGCTACCTCTGCAGTTTTGTGGCACCCTGGGTCCCTTCTCGACGAGTTTCGCAAGGGTCAACCCCAACGTTTTTGTTTTTTTTTCCTACTGGGGTCACTGGGCAAGTGGGAGAAGCAGGAAATGCAAAGCGGAGGGCCCAATTCATAGCCAAGAGTGTGGCCATTATCCAGACACTCCCAAGCAACATCCTTTGTTCCGAGGGGTGGTAACGGTCGAAACTCTGCAAATGAGTTTGGAACGAAGAAGTTAAAAGGTTAAAGGGAAATATAATGACCCGCAGGCATGTTTCTTATGAGCCTGTGTGCGCTGGGCGATTGTCGATTGGAGTCCATTCGACACATCCGCGGAGCGCAGTGCTTGTCGTTCAGCTTGGGCTCGTCCAGATGGCAATTTTGGCAGTCAGGCAATGCCAATACAACGTGATGTGAAATCGACAACAGCTGCCTGAAGTTTGAGACGCGCGAATTCCTAAATTTTAGCACGGTCTCAGCGCTTTGGTTTTCCAGCAGACTTCAAACAATGCCTGGCATGCAGTCCCGTCACTCATTCTGTGGGTCCCGTATCTTCCCATATCTTGAGACAGATCCGAGTTGGAAACTGCCGGAGAATGGCAGCATGACGCACTTTTGCGGGAGATGCGAAGGCACGAAATGGGGTCCCTCCACCGTTCGCTGTGAGATACCCTCTCGTCGGTACACTGGCAATTTGACACTGGGCTTGGTACTTCCTTGTTGGTTTGTGGGCTGTGTGGCCAATCACCTCGGCATGTTGAACGTCGCTGAGCAATAGTGCGTTCGAGAGTTCTTAGCGCAGTTCATTTTGAAGTGGTGGGAGGGGAACATTGACAATCACACGTTGAGGCCACCTTTGTTACATGACTGCGGTAGAGAGTCTTTTGCCCCTTGGTTACCATGTCGGGATGTCATTGTTGAAACCCAGGTTTTGCCAGTGGGTGTGTCCGTTGTAGGGGAGCCTCACATTGCGCACTCTCAGCCTTGACGCCAAGCGTTGGCCATCCATCTGAGTCGGAGGGAACCCGTTGGCAGGGAATGGCCTGAAGTGTTGCAAGGGATTCGAAGGGAAGCTCAGTGAATCTCAACTGAGGAACTGCCCAAGCTGGGATTCCGAATCTCAAGGGCCAGATGTTTAGCCCAGAGGGCCTATGCCAAAGCCAAAGCCTGTTGGGCTGCGGTTGTTGGTTCAAAGACAAAGGGAGCGATGACTTGGGAGGGTAGCCCTCTCATTCCAGTTTTGGAGGACATGTTATGTTGTGGCTGATTGAAACAGCGGAATCTCCGGAGCATGTTGCCCAGAGCCCTCTACATCTCTCGACTGTTCACCGATTCTCCTGAGCTACTGACCATTGCGGGAAGGCAGACCTTCCTATGAATGTCCAAAGTGCTGCTCATGCCATATTTGTTTATATATGTTTCCATACCAGCATGATGTATGCGTCCCCGGTTACATAAACTTCTAGTCGAAGAAGAAACGTTTGCCACAACAGTTTCGACGTTCATGCCAGATGGTCTTAGATTGCTGGACTTTCCGACCGTGTCAAGTGGCATTTCGCTACGGATTCCTGAATAAAAACGGGCCGTAAGCTCCGATTTCCTGCATTGAAACGGAACCAGCTTAGATGCGCGAGAGTTTCTCACAAGGGACCCCCCCGGGTTGTTGTTTCCTGATAACTCTCCCAAAACAAGTTGCCTATGCTGAGACAGCATGATGTGTCCAAACACAACACGTTTTTCCCCACATACCGTACTTCTGTAAAACGGTTTGGTTGTGCTTTCTGTGGATGTCACCTGCTCTTCTCGGGTTGACTTAGGATACATTTTACATTTTACCAGTCACACAAAATGAAGCAAACAACAAAATATACATTCTAGAGCTGGGCCTATCTCGAATTCATGTCTTGTTTAGGAGGTCCCTTTTTAGTACTCTTTAGTATCCTACAGGGGTGGATCCACAAGAACCGCAAAGACGTTTCCTACTGGTTCCGCTGAAGAGAACTCGACATCAAGCGAGCCTGCCTTCCGCTCAGGCTAGCTCCGGGCACTAGAGGACTGGCTCAGCCCGCGGAAACGAAACCAGAGCCATTCCGCGGGGTTTGTTGTTGGAGAAACGGGTTTGTGTCGGCAAAAAATGTTTTTTGTTGGAAAATAACGTTTTTTTGGAAAAAAACTGTTTCTGTTGGCAAAAAAAACGTTTTTTGTTGGAAAACAACTGCTTTTGTTGGAAAACAACGGTTTTTGTTGGACAAAAAACGGTTGTTGTTGGAAAAAAACGTTTTTTGTTGGAAAAAACTGTTTGTGTTGGAAAACAACGGTTTTTGTTGGAAAAACACTGTTTTTGTTGGAAGGCACCGGTTTCTTTTGAAGGCAACGGTTTTTGTTGGAAAACCACGGTTTTTGTTGGAAAGC